CATCTACACAGCTACCGATGTGTGTTTGTGTGTGTGTGTCTGCAGAACTTGGCTGTATGTGTACAAAACACATACAATACAAATGACTATTACTTTCCTACCGTTAGGAAAATGGTGTATAGTAAACTTAACTTTCATCTTAAGCTACATCCGCGTAGAATCCCCGCGTCCCCTCGTCTCGCCGCGAATGCGATACAAAGCGCGACACCGGAATGCGGCAAACGTCAAACTTTCGAAAAACACCGGCGCTCATTATCGCGTGCTATCTGCAATACGGCATGAATGGGGAAACCGAAATCGAAATGAAAACGGCGAGAAGGTCATGCTCACGTGTCAGGAATAACACAAGCGTGGCGTTGACCCACATTGTTTTTGAAACGCGATTAAACTCATTGAAAACGACCGAAGGTAGATTAATGGCGTCGGGGCGCGTAACCGCGAAAAGCGGGGCAAAAAGCGAAACAAATTTAACGAGCTGTGAATTATGAAAATCGGTGACAGGCCGCCGCTTTTAAATGCTCTCTCGCGCTCTCTCCGGCTCGCGCCCTGCCGCGGAGTTCGGCTCTCACTCGTCCTCTCTCTCTCTTTCTCTCACCAGTTTGGTTTGGGCGCGTGCCAGTGTGTGTTGAATCGAAACGATTCGAATGCAAAATAATAATAAAACAGTGGGGCTCGTTGAAGGCGGGTGCGGCGGCGGTGGGCGTCGGGGGTGGGAGAGCGGGGGGAGGGGGGTGGGTAGACGACAGAGAGGCGGGGTCGGCAGCGCATTAACGCAATTAACCTCCAATTAATAACACATCAATTGACACCCGGTCAACTTGTTGCATCAGAGCAGGCCGATAATATGCTGAACGCGTGTGAACCGTGGTGTGTACATACACACGACGGCCCGCCGGCCGCGCCCGTGTGCGCGCCGCCGACGCGTATGCGAGCGTATATCGTATCCCGGCGCGTGTGTATACACGTTTCGCTTGCGCGTGTGTGTGCACGCGCGCGCGCGCGCGTGTCTACACGTTTGCGCTTAGGCAAGACCACGGACGTGGCCGCGTGTTTGTGCGGTTGCGGATGCGTGTTACGCGGCTACGCGAGAAGTATGCCTATTCTCCCTCCCCCTCCTCTTCCCCCCCTCCCCCCCGCCCCCGATATACGTCGGCATATCGTCGTAGGCGTAATGACGAAACGAATGTTACAATAATTTTATATATACCGGGAGGGTGAAAGCCGGGGAGGGTTACGTGCCTAAGCGTCGTGCGTGCATATACACATACGCGATGGACATGGACTGATGACCACAGTCGAGTTCCCATGCAACCCCCTGCGAGCACTCTCTCACCACATGACACCTACAGGGGGTGGAATTCCGATGCACATGCCACTGCTGTGCTACCCCGACAACGCCATGTGGGGTACGTTACACCATGTGATGCTCACGATAGGAACTATCCTTCCTCCGTTTCTTCGCCCGTATCGCTAGGGGAAGGGAGGGGGGGGAGGGGGAAGCTAAAAATTGCGGCACACGGCACACGAGAATACCTACGGCGGAACGCGGGTTCAGGCGTTCGTAAAAATTTGCCCGCGTGGAAGTCGCGTCGTTCTCGAATCGTTGCCTGACTTGCGATTTTTAGTCGTACGTCGTATATATGAGATCTATCTACTTAAAAAAAAAAAAAACCCCGATCACTTGTTGTAATATCACCTTGAAGTTCCATCGAGGGCTCCCCATGCGTTAACTATCCTACGTATTACTTGCGGACCCTATCACTATGCACTATAATCACGCTTTGAAATCTACCCACCTGCTTAAATGGTAAATATCGTATGACGTACAGGAAATGGTCATTGGTGACTTGCCGATGTATGTTTTTGTTGTACTTCAATAGTCGTTGATTCTATGACATATTGAACTTACAGATGACTTTCATACGCGCGATTAACTGCCGCATATTACTTCCGTAATTTTATCTATCGATTCCCTCGCGGTGAAAAAAAATTTTTTTTTCGTATACCGTCTTTCACCGTAAGGAAAAAATTCGTCTCTTAGAAAGAGAGAAAAAAGAAGGTACACATTTATTTGAATTTGAAGACGATTGTATATACTTAACACATTTACTTAAATTTGAAGATAACTTTATGTTTAACACATTTATTTAAATTTAAAGTTGATTTTATACTCAATACATGCAATGAATTTTTGCATATTACTTCCATAGTTTATCTATCGATTTTCTCTGATAAATTTTTTTTATATACTATTTTTCATTGTAAGATAAAAATTCTGTCATGTTGTAAGAAAAAAAAAGAAAAAGTACGCATTTACTTAAATTTGAAGATGACTTTATGCTTAACACATTTATTTGAGTTTAAAGATGATTATATGTTTAATACATGCAATTAACTTCCGTATATTACTTCGTAGATTATCTTCGCGGTGAGATTTTTTGTCATGTACTATTTCTGTCTGCAGTAAGACAAAAATTTTGTAAGAAAAAAATTCGTCTTTTAAAAAGGAAAAAAGGGAAGGTACACATTTATTTGAATTTTACCTGAGAGTACCTGTGTCAAAAATCGGTCGTCGGACACTAGCAGCGGTAAGACCCCGTGCACTTCCCCTGCGCTCGCCTTGGTGAACGCACTCCTCGCGTCGTGTAATTAGCTCGTCGCGTCTACTTCCGAATCGACGCAACAGTGGGAGAGTTCCTGAAGCCATTTCCGGCAGGGCACCGGCACCTTTTTGTTTTCCCCTTCGTCGTCCCACGCATGACGGCACACGGGGAAGTACCGATCAAAAACGGGAAAGACAGAAGTTCGTCCGACCCCCCTCGAAGCGTCCCTTCCTATCCAGGTACAATCGTCGTCGTCCCGTAGACCTTATCGAGGTCGACACCATATGTCACTTCTGGAGTAACGAGGGCCGCAGCAAGCCACGCTGCGCCCCTCTAAAGTAATTGCCAACGGAACTGCCTAGTAATTTCTCGGAACGAAATCGCTCCTCTTCGAGGAAGCGCCCGAGAACGCGCTAACTTGTCGTAATTGAACGTTTTACGTAATAGTGATTCAAGTGCGCAATGAGGACGTCGATGATACTTCAAGTACGCGCGCGTATTTGCTCGTATTTCAACAATCTGTCTTCCTGTTACGCAATCTGCAATTTTCGGCCTTCAAGAAGAAAAAATGCGGTATATCTTTACGCGATGGTTACCGCAACTCGCAATACGCTTTACTTCTTAAAAACACACACATTATATATTTTTACAATAACTTCTTGTCATAAAAATTTCGATAATAGCGAAATAAAAAAAAGTAAATTTTATTTTTTTATTCGTAGAATACAATCTTCATTAAACTTTCTACTATTTTGTGACACCTCTCGCATTGTTCTCTGCAGGAAACTCTTTCGACTTCTTGATATGTATTGGAACGAATATCGGGGCGTCCTCGTATACGCAGGGGGTTTATGCGTAGGCGAACTATGGAATATTGTCGGCTTATTGAGCGCAGGTGCTTTAAACTGCTCAGCTGTTGCTTCGAATCTCGCGTACGTGTGCACAAACGCGTGTGCCCGTGCGCTAGCTGTATTAGTACGTATTCAGGCCTCTATGCCGTAGCGCATACGTGCGACTACACAAACGTCTCACTTACGCACTTATATACGCAGCGTCAATTGAACTGCATGACGATCGAAGCTTCTAACAGGCCGTACCATTGACGAATGAAGAGCGATTATTTGCGCGCGTGGAGACCGCGACAAAAAAAAAAGGGGAATTCCATTAAAATATTTCGTGCCGAGTAAATAATTGTAAACGTACAACAATAACGAAATTGTTGTCGCGCCTCATTACAGCCTCGTACAATAAAATCGGTATTAGCGAGCGGCAAATTTATGAGCGCGCAAAATGAGGACGTATATATATATATATATATATATATACGAGAGAAGGATCGGCGCGTATAAAAGAGCGCAGAAGAGGCTCGATTCTATTTTCCTCAGATCCGAGCGAGCCAGATGGGCCCGGTCTATGATCGAGCGAGCAATGAGTGGACTATCAATTACTTTTTGTGCCCCCCTTTCTTTCGCCGGGTATATCGACCGACGACGGTATGCATCCCACGGCGAGGAGACCACTCTAGGCGGAACTGCTTATGTATCGAATAAGATATTCAACGCAAGTAATTTTCTTATGGCCGCTTCTCAGGCGAGCCCACCCCCTTCTTCGCTAACCCCCTCGTATAACTCACTATACTTTCGAGTTTTTGCTTCCATCGGCCGCAGGGTGTTCGGACGCGAGGGTGAAACATATTGCTTGCAACTGTCACCCGCGGTCTGCTCTTCTTCTTCGCCGCCGCCGTCGTCGCCCTCGCGCCGTGGTCGATCACTGTATTTTTAACCCGATAACACTTTCGCACTCCTTTCTCATGTTCTATCGTATCGTGACGTCATCTTGCACGGAATTAAGTGTATTTTTCTCAATCGACTATCCGTATCTTAGAAAATAAGAAATACAATTTTCTACAAATTCTGCAATTCTTAAAGATCGAAACATATGTATGCGTTCGAGTGTGTAAGATGATACGATAGAATATTGAAATAGAATATTTATAACAAAAAAAGGGAATAAAATAAAAATGCACATATACATGTGTCTATCTTTCTAAAAAAAAATACTTGCAAGAAACACATTATACTGTATAATTACGAAGATTAATGATGCATCTATAAGAAGCCACTTTCAACATTCTTGCCGTACATTCGATTTGCAGTTAAAATAAGATAAGCTAATAATAAGAGGAAATGACATGTGTACACACCGTCGAGTACTTCCTATCTACGGAAACGACGTTTCTTTCAATGCAACAGTCTATATACAGGGCTTAAAATACTCCGCTGTGTGCTATTATCGTTCCTTTGAATCGATTCTCTTAATAGTATATATAGACGAGAGCGATATTCGTTTAGCCGGCACAGATCGCTAAGATGAACCGTCGTCTTTTTTTCATTACAGACGTATCGGAGAATTGCGGCCACGAAAATCGAGACGAGGGAGAGAGGGGCACTTAGCCCTTTGGCGAGCTCGAAGGATGCAGCTCCCAGGCGGGAGCACGAGAATTCCGCCCGCGAGTATACCGGCTTCCCTTCTGGTTATCATCAACGGGAACAACATCGCAACAATCACCGGGAGTAAACGCATCGTTAGCAACAGCGGCGGTCCCGGTTGCAACAATTACCGTAGCAGAAGTAGTAAGAAGCACGATAGCAGCGGATACAGACCCGATAACGAATCGAACCTTCCGAAGAAGACCCGCCATCCCGAGACGAGGGCGGACGGCCGACATCAAGTCACCAAGCAGCAGCCTCAGCCGTTGGCAGCGTCAGCTCTACGGCGGAAGGTGCGGGGCGAGGAATAGTGAAAAAAAAGCACAGAAAAAGCGAGGAACGACGGAAGAAGAAGAAGAGGAAGCGCGAGAGAAGGAGAAGAAGGAGAAGAGGAGGAAGCAGGAGTTCGCCGGGAAAGAGAACGGTGCCGGCGTCGTCGTTGTTGGCGGCGGCGGCGGCGGAGAAAGCAGAGGAGGCGGCGGAAGAGGAGGAGGAGGAGGCGGTGGCGGCGAAGAAGACGGAAAAGGAAGAGGAGAAGAAGACCGAGAAGGAGACGGCAAAAGCAAAGGAAGTGGCGAGGCGGTGGTGGTCGGTGGCGGGCAAGGTGGGGAGTATTAGCTAGAAGGAACGCGGAGAAAAGGCAGCTGTAGTAGGGGTACCAGAGAGACTACACGGTGCAGAAACCGAGGCAGCGCGCTGAGCCACAAGGGGCTATTCGAGCGCGAAGGGGAGGGTGACAAGAAGCACTGGCGGGGAGGGGACGCGGAGGCCTTCGGGGGGCCGACCAACCAGACGGCCGATGATGTCATCGGAGGAGGAGACCGAGTGTTTCGCCCTCTACGGAGCAACCACGGAAAGCAAGCAACAGCAACTCCTGAAGAAGCAGAAGCGCACCAGACAGCGCGTGGACGCCGGCGAGCCGCGCAACAGTTACTCGAGTATACCGAACTTTAGCTCCCGGCCATCCTTTCTCGGTGGTGGTCTATACGGCTCGATCTTCAGTGGTAGTGGGCCACCGTCGCACCCACCATCGCAGCAACAACAGCAACAGTCACAGCAACACCACCAGTCGCAATCGCAACAACAACAACAACAACAACTCCAGCAACAGGCTGGAGCGACTGGCAGTCAAAGTCATTTAGGTACAGCTACGACGGGTCCTACAACCCAGCAGCATTCCGCCCACGCGGCCTTCGGCTTCTTCGGGGCTCCGGGCTTCGGCCCCGCCAAGATGCTGAACGAGTTATTAGGAAGGCAGGTCAAACAGGCCAGTGACGCTGGCGGATCACCGCCAGAGGGCGGTCACGGGATGACCGGTGCCGGCATGGATCCCGCCTCGAATTTGCAACCAGGCGCCGTGGTTAATTGTGATGATCCCGCCACGGCCGACCTCACGCAGCACATGTTACGCGACATGCTTCTGCAGGGGCGCAAACTCTCCGCTCTCGGCGTGCAGGAGCAGCCGAATAATAACAACAGTATACACAGTAATAACAACAATAATACTACCGCGGAACTACTTAAATCACAGCATCAGCAAAGTCCCCAACAGCATCAACAAAATAGTGATAGTGCGCGCAGTGGAACAGTGCAGAGTGGCGGGGAGGAGAGTGGTGATGGTAATAACGTCGTGAATAGCGCGAATCACAGTGATCGTGATACCGTGATGCCGGGCGATGCTGAGGACAGCGCTGAGGATGCTGCCTCCGCGGCACGCGCGATGGAGGAGGCCTTTGCCGAGGCCGGTATGGAACCAGGAGCGAACTTGGACGGATCGGATTGTGAGCAAAGCCTGCCTCCTAGCCCAACGGCACCAAGGTCAGGCTCGGTCTCCGTTAAAGAAGAGATACAAGAGTCGCTGAATATCAAACGTAGCCCCAGTCACTCTCCTTGTCCGATCGTGCCAAAGACCGAGACGAACTCTCCAACGACAGAGATTAAACGCGCTCGTGTGGAGAACATCGTCAGCACGATGCGCAGTAGTCCGGCGCTTCAGCCGGCAACGGTAAACGGTTGCAAGAAGCGCAAGCTCTATCAACCTCAGCAACAGACAGTGCATCACGTTCTCCAGCATAGTGTCAATGACACCATGATGGACGACGAAGACGAGAGCGAAGAGGAGGAGGACCCGACGACGATCAGACAGAAACGGGAGGAGAAAGATAATTTGAAGATACAATTGAAAATGTTACACGAGCAATTGGCGGAAATGCAGCAAAAGTATATGGAACTCTCCAGTAGAATGGAGCCAGACACAAGTGAGAGTGGCGACGCGCCACCAAGTCCTCCTCAGCATCCACCGCAACCGCCACCAAGACCGCCACGACCTCATCCACCGCCGTACAACGGCCTCCCGGCCCTCCCACCTGATCACCCTCACGCAGCAGCTGCTGCCATGTATCACATGGGGCATAAACTCTACTTTGAACAACAGCATGCTGCCCTCGAGAGGATGAAAAGAGAACATCAAGAAGCGGCCGTGCGACAGCAGCAGCAGCAGCAACAGCAACAGCAGCAGCAGCAGCAGCAGCAGCAGCAGCAGCAGCAGCAGCAGCAGCAACAACATCAACGACAAAGTTCGCCACCGCCACCAAGCCAATCTCAGCAACAGAGCCAGAACAACACTGGACCTTCGACGCCGCAGACGCCGCAAATGCAACCGGCCAGTACGCCCATTCAACATAAAGACTTCCAGGAAAGGTTAAGCGTCTTCAGAGGTGCCGCCGCAGCAGCCAGCTCGTCCGGTCCTCATATTACCGGTGCCGATTTGGAAGGCCTGGCGGATATCTTGAAGACGGAAATAACTTCTTCTTTAACCAATTTGATTGACAGCATAGTATCGAGGTTCGTGCAACAGAGGAGGTTTCTCGGTAAGCAAACCGAGGCAGCGCAGGCTGCTGCCGAGCAGCTCAATAAGGACCTCCTTCTGGCGAGCCAAATGCTCGAAAGAAAATCGCCTAGGACGAAAGTAGTCGACCGAGGAGCTCCGCAACCACCCGGTGGCCCAAACGGGCCACGGGGGCCCCTCAACGGTGGGCCCCCTCCTCCACAACCCACGGGGTTTTCGCAAATCGGGTCCATAGGTGGTGTGCCCCATGGCCCTCATACTGGTCCCACGGAAAACAATCTTAACCAAATGAATCAGCTGCCCTCGCACGCAAGGCCGAGCGTTGGAATGTTTCAGACGCCAAAGCCGCCGACGATATACGCCATGGCCTCCATGCAGGCGCAGCAGCAACAGCAACACCAACAGCAACATCAGCAACGCGAGCAGCAGCAAAGGGAGCATCAACAACGCGACCAATACTGCAATATGAGAGGCGACGAGAGAGAAAACAGGGACTCGGAACAAAACGAGGCCCTGTCACTTGTCATGACGCCGAAGAAAAAACGTCATAAGGTAAGCATCACAATTTATCAGATTTAATATATTAATATAAATTAAATATATTTAAATTTATGATAATATTGACATAAATTGATATATTTTTAACAAAAATATGTACATAAATTGTACAGTTTTACAATTTTTTACATGTATATAAAAAAAGATATTAATTTGAAGTCATTCATAATTTTCGAATAATGCTATGTAAATTGAAATCAATGAAATCACAGCGAAAATATTATAATCTCTCGATTTTTATATTATCATCATTTTTAATAAATATGCTTTTATATATAAATTAGTCTCTCATAAATAAAATAAAATTATATTAATTATGGGAAATTGATAAAAAAGTCTGACTAAAAAAAAAATACTAATTAGTACGCTTTACAGGTGACGGATACGAGAATTACTCCCAGAACGGTGTCCAGAATCCTAGCGCAAGAGGGAAACGGATCTCAAGGAGGTAGTGATAGTCCCCCGCCTCCTCCACCGCCGAGACCCTACCACGCGCCACCACCGATGCTGCCGGTGTCCCTGCCAACCAGCGTAGCGATACCAAATCCAAGCCTCCACGAGAGTCAAGTGTTCTCGCCCTATTCGCCGTTTTTCAATCCTCACGCGAGTCATCCTGGTCAAGTACCACCTCCGGGGCCACATCATTTACCCGCGAGTCCTCCGGGTGGAGGTGTAGAACTCAGGGATTCCCCTCCACTGCCCCATCCGCCGGCTATGCTGCATCCAGCCTTGCTGGCGGCAGCCCAGCACGGCAGTCCGGACTACGGACACCTTAGGATGGACAGCAACGACCGAGCTAGCGACTGCAATTCCGGCGACATCAGCTACGATGGAATTCAGCCTACAATATCCTTTTCTAATACTAACATGCTGAAGAGCAAAATTGGTAATAATGCTCTGCAATTTTACGAAATCTTCTTCAGATAACATTTATATAAAAATTTTAATACACATTTTATTATATTAAAACGCAAAGAAAGAAAAAAAATTGATATCATACATGTAGTTAATACAGAATCAATTGTTAAAATAAAAATACTATGTTATCTGAAGAATAATTCGGGGGTTAAAAAGAATTTAGAAATACTAGAGAAAACGGTTAAGATACTCCGGGATATTTTTTTTTGAGATAGAAGAGAAGCGCAAGAGAAACTCGAAAAGTTTAGGATGTAGCGGTGAGTTTTTTGAGAGAGAGAAAAAGCCGGCAAAATGGCTCGTACGCTCGCCCGCTTGGAAGGCGGCTGGAGCGAGGAAGCTCGGACGAATGTTAGATTAGTTTGCCACGGAGTTAGGCTAATGTTGGCTGCACCTACGAGTAGAGTTTGTCCGGCAACAACGCACCGAACCAAAAGTTCTTTGCCTACCTCGGCCCACCCTCGGCCTGCAGTCTCACCCAACTTCGCAAGCCAATAATCTGTCCCGCAATTTCGCAATTCAGCCTGAGCATTTCGCGAACTTCACATTTCGAGCGTCTCCTCGGCTTATCCTAGATAAGCTACTTTCGCTGATCTCGGTAATATCTCAAGCCTTTGTAAAGCTAAATTTCCGAGCATCGACTTTTGTCAGCAAAAATTCATTTTATCTTCCGACGCGTGCAAGAAAGATTTCTCATTTATATTTATATCAGTCGCATTTCCGTACGAAAATGTGACCGCCTAATGGAGAACCGTATATACATAATAGAACAGAAATTGTATTACAATTAAATTTAATCGACCTTATTAAAAACGAATTTGCCTTGTTTAACAGATCGTATTTTTTCCTATTTTTCAGTAATTTATTACACAATTTTTAAATATTCATAAATAATAATAAATATTTAATATACATGATAAAAATTAATATTCAAAATTTTTATAGAGTAATATTTCAAAGAAAAGAATTGCACTTTTGCGAAACGATTTGAGTTACATTATAAATGTGTAATAGTTTAAGGAATTATATATTTGTGAAAGTCGCTTCGAAATTTGATTTAAAAAGCGTTCTTGACCTTTTTCGGAATGATTAAAATAGCCGCGATTGCATCTGGTTGAAGTGCACTCTTAGGACTCGTCAGAAAATGATCGGCGAGAGCGAACGGTTCACCAGTCCGATTATCGTGCATGGATCCACCCCGCCGCGGCTTGCTTCTGAGTTACCGAAAGAGCGTGCAGAAATCCGGTGGCTTGCGCGGATCGGGAGTTCGCCTCGGTGCAGCGAGGAAAAAAAGGCGAGAGTGCCGGCGCGGGGTTCGTGTGAGCGCCGATCGTCCGATGCAATGTCGGAACTGCATCGGCGTGTTGGACCCGGGTCGCTCGATCGGGTAGCGTGCCGTTCTTTGCCGCCTTTTTAGTCGGCCTTTGATGTAAAATCAATGGCGCATTTTTTTTCACTCCCTCCTCTCACTTGGGGTAGGTCGAGCGCGTTGTGCATCGCCGTGACACGATCTGCTGCTGTTCCGCGCTCCTCCGGACGCACCTCCATCCTATAGTCTCGTCGCGGTTCTCCTGCCTGGCATTTGATGCATCCGAATTCATTTTGTTGCCTGTGCCCTCCTTTTTTCCTTACTTTTTTTTCCTTTTCGAAAGAATTTATCTCGAATTTTTTTTTAGCTCGAGATTATATCCGCGGATATTTCACGTATTTATAGTATCGAGTGTAAACGAACGTACGTTTCGAGTAAATCAAGTTGGACGTGTCGCAGCAGCAGAGTAAGCGCGAATTAATCGAATAAGATTGCGATGAAACCACATGTCGAGATCCGATTACCAGTAAGGAGTCAATAAGGCTTCTGCTGAGGATACGGCCAATCGTATATAGATCAACTTCCCCGCGTAAGAACCCTTCTATCGCCTGCCCTCGCGATAGCCGCAATTTGTACGATTTCTGATCCGATTCGATACGAAAGAAAACACGATTATATTTGAGACATACGTTCGAGATACGAATCAGCGTTTCTCTCTGCCGCACTTCTCTCTCTCTTAAACTTAATTTTTTTTTATTGCGAGGAAATTCTCCCCCGTCACACAATACACTTCTACGCGTTTATATGAATTTATGTACATTGCAAAATGAGTATTTCCTTAACCACGGTGAACTCGTCGACGCTGACGCCGATGCATCTGAGGAAGGCGAAGCTGATGTTCTTCTGGGTCAGGTACCCATCCTCGGCCGTCCTTAAGATGTACTTCCCCGACATCAAGTTCAATAAAAACAATACAGCGCAGCTGGTCAAGTGGTTCTCCAACTTCCGGTGAGTAATGTGTAATTCTCAATTTATAGTAACAGCACAGCGAATATAGTCCTTCCAAACCGTACATCGTTCTACGCGAGCAGTTTATTTCTTGCGCAAATATTTCACCGTTCTTCCGCTCTAAAAAATATCGTGCAAAAATCTTAAAAAAATATCTTGAAAACAAAATGCGTTTGTATATACGAGAGAAAGGGAGAAGGATTTTTATAGTAGGATTTTTATACTTTGATATTTGAATAAACGTATTAAAGCGGGCTGATGGAGAGCAATTCTTAAAAAATTTAAATTATTCATCTACTAGATTTAAATCTTTAAATTGATTCGTGAATTTTCGATTAATCGGAATCTCACTTACAAATCGAGAATTATTTTCGGTACGGTCGAAAGTGGGTTCGGAACACCCGCGCTGATTGAAGGGATAACCAAATTCTGCACGAGAACGAGCGGACGGTCATGTAGAAAATCTCAAGGACATACGAGCGGACAGCCGTTGTCGCCACTCCCCTACGTAATCTCGGACATTTTCGCTCTCGTGCGCGTGGTACTCGCACGTCGAAAGAATATGGAATCGTGGGAAGACGTTTCTGATAACAGAGAGAGGCGCGTTTCGTGTATGCAAACGAGAACGAGGTTTTCGAGGGATCGACCACTCCCTCTGCAGAAGCGGTCAGAGCCCAAGAGACGAGAGTCACGATGGGTGTGTCCGAATCTTAATTACCCTCTCTCGTAGAGCAGCTGGGGATAAGTAACGCTACCTACATAGCGCCCAGGTATAGAAGCGTAGGAGGCCGGTAGGTAACCGACGCGGTACTGTCCGGCCAGGCATTAGCCTGATTATAATTAGGCTGAGTACAGTACAGATCCAAGATACAAGGTGGTCGAAGGCGGACCGCGCGCGTGCCCTCGTCGTTACATTATTACCGCTTTCTTATCGCGGGACGTCCACTCTCGTGAAAATCGTAAGTCCTTCGCGCGGTGGCATTCGTGTGCCGGCATTCGTTCTCTCTTTCTCTCTCTCTCTCTCTCTCAATTACGCGACGGGGGGGGAGACCACGTGCCTGGGATGTTATATACTCTGAAATGAAAGATGCATACGCGACGATAAATAAAACGTTAACGAGCAAGCGCTTAGCTGTTCCGAGTGGTCGAGTTAATTACAATGTCTTATATTGTATATCGCCGGCCGGCTCGTCGACGAGAGGCGCGTCCCGAAGGCGCATATCTTTTACCTCAACGTGGAGCACGAGTCGCGCACGGTTGTGTAATCGAGCGGAAACGGGGGACGTCATGCACGTGAAATTGCGAAAACAAAAAAGGAAAAAAAGAAATAAAAGGATCCCGTTCATTTTGGCAGCGACGCGAACATCGCTGCGTTAATTATCAGCCTATTGTTCTATGTAACTTTATTCTACATCCGGGCCTATCCTCCAAAAAGAGTTGGACTCGCAGATAAAAGAGCAAGCACGTGGTCTGTTTGCGAAACTTCGAAACGTCCGGCGGAAAATTGCACGCTCGCATTTCACGGTACGCACAAAGCTAATTACCGCTTCAACATATTTCGGTACATTTGCCCCGAGGGGGTTTTTTTTCGCCATCCTCCTCGCCGCTCCTATACCACCTCCGAAATCTTCCTTAATGAGTCTTGCTGCGTCTTGCACTTTGGAACTCCCTGTAGAAACTGAAATTTTCCTGCACAAACTGGACGTTACTAATTCCTCATGAATTCGAAAGTAAAATCTAAAAAAAAATCCAAAGAATCAAACGTTTCGTGTGGTATACGCGCCGTATTGCGCTACGTGACTCGCTTGCATCGATATATTATAACCGTGAACGTGCTTTCTAAATGTGGAACATGTTAGTCACGGTATACCATTGATATAATCAAAAGTTTCCATTTATTTTTCTTATACGAGATACATCTGTTAGTATATATTAATTTATGAAAGTGTATATCAAAATCATTTATTATAGTGATATATTCTTTCTCTCTCTCTCTCTCTCTCTCTCTCTCTCTCTCTCTCTATATATATATATATATATATATATATATATATCTATCTATCTATCTCTATCTCTATCTCCCTTTCCATTCCCGTGCGAAAAGACTTTATAGAATGTCCAGCAATCGTAAATTGCCGTGTTTTGATTAATAGACTTAAATATTAAAATTAATTCGATATTTAAAAACATGATGACACAGAAACATAAAATGTATATATCGTAAGTTCTCCTTAATTTTGAAGGAATTCCAATTTGAGATTTAAGATTTAAGATAATCTCAAAGGAGCATGATTTTTTAAACCCATAATAACGAGAAATGTTTTGAAAATTATTATTATTATTGAAAATTAAATGTTTCAATTAAATTTCTCGAAGAAAAAAAGTGAATTGTAAATTTATTAAAGATGTACGAGATTTCTAGAACGCTTTATGCATTCTTCGATTTCTTTCGACAACTGTCATTATGTATTATATTCGACTGTATGAAACAGGTATTTAAAAAAATTGAAGGGAAAGCATTGCGTAATATCCTTCACAGGAGATATTTTAATATTGCTCGGAAATCGCAATATATTTATTATTTAAAAAAATGCGGAGATATATGCTCACAGAACGGAATGCATCGGCATTTCCCCGATTTCCCTTTTCCATTTTTCCATTTTACGAAATACGAATTGAATTTCTATTTCTGCTGTACATCGGACGTTTTTCTTCCATTCCATTCTTTTTTTTATTTTCGGTAGATTGATTTTCGTACGGATCGCAGCGTACGCGTGACACAAATCTAACAATCTCATCTTGTAATTATTTTCTACATTTCCTAATAAACCCGCGTGCGGCGCGCATTTTCGAGAGCACATTTAATATGACGTGTCCAGTGGCAAAAATATACATTCATGGCGCATATATTGCGAACAAAATGATTAAAATGTGCGTGCATTTATATTAATTAAATTTCCCCATTATTCTGATGCACAAAATAAACGTTTCGCGAAATTAATCAGCGTTCACACTTCATCCTTTCAACTTTATTCGGTCGGCGATACTACAGAACGAGCAACAACTCGAGATTTTCCCGCGGAATATTTTCTAAAATATCTCTGTTCGCGTGACGTGTGCGGCGTCATGTAAATTTCGTAAACCGTAGGGGGAGAGAAAGAGAGAAAGAGAGCGCGCAATTCGTTTACGAGACATAACACGACACGGAAGATCGAGTGCAATTCGGAATTGCGGGCCGATGAAACATAAAACGGGCCGTGTCACGGCAGACACATAATATTTGAATATCGTACAAATGACTTGCACATTGCTCGGATAATCGAGATACTCGAGCGAAGCTCCCGTTCTGCGCCGTGGGGTTCTGTATGCGCGGATTACTATTCACGGCGGCCAGGGATTTTCGTTCTCTATTTCAGCCCGCAATAAACCGAACGAGCTCCCATCGGCCAGATTTTTTCGATTGGTAAATGGTGAGAGTGGATCGTGAGGTATTGCCTCAAATATTGGCAATTACAGTAAAAGTTCCGAACGCTTTAAATCTTCACTTAAAGGACCGTTTGCCGGAAGACACGTCAATATACGTTACACGTATATAATGGATAAAGTGATGCGATAATTGTCGAACGCGAACGCATTGAATTGATTTGTATTGCTTATTCATTTTATTAAAAATGTCCTAAAATATATTTATCTCCATCTTCCGATCGTATTTTCAAGGAGAGGAATGTCTCGTTATTCTTCTATCCTTGGGTTTTGCGATATAACATCGGATATTGTTGCGACGATTCGCGATGAGTAGAGCGAGTCAAAGGGAGCTTTCCGGAGGGAGTCCCCGGCATGAGAAAAAGTTTCCTTGCGAAGCTCTCTCCTCGTTCTCGCTACGTCAGTCTCTTGCTACCATTTCTTCCTCCGCGCTTGATTTTCTCCTCCCCCTGTCCACGCTACTTCGCGGTTCCTTTGACATTCAATTCGAACTTTCAAACTTTCGAGAGGATCTGAAAACGTTAACTTTTTTTTCCTCTCGTTCCTTTTTGTATTGCGACGGCCGGGAGGGCACGAGATGAGAATGGTGAAGCGCCACGAGGGAAATGCTGCTGCCTATCGCGTACGGAATGATAAAAGATAAAAGCTCTGATAAAAGAGAGATAAAATGTGTCGTGCGTTACGGCCAATGTCATGTAACGCGCGTAGCAGTTGCAGTTTCTCCGCAGAAAATATTTACGAAATGTAAACTTGGGGGGAAAAAATGGCAATAATCCTCGGCGCTTTTCGTGGATGATGAGGATACAGTCACGGTATACACAATATGTCATTTATGAGCTTCCCCCGAGATAACGTCACCTTCAACCGAGGCTACTCGCTCCCCGGGGCGGGACGTATATGTGTGTGTGTTTTTCGTTGTTACGATTTTTCATATCCTCATAAAGAACATTTCGCGAACGTGTGTGCTCCACAAGCACGAAGCGCGGAATGAATCCGGCTAATGTGTTTTTACCGACTATGACGCACTCCGACCTCGTGCGTCACATGAGGCTTGATGTGTTCTCTCGCGTTAATTTGCACCAGATGAGAGGAAGATATTCCTCTCCAGAGGCGAGAGTATAAATGTGTAACCCGGATATTAAGAATTCCTGGCGAGAATTATGAAAACAGTTTCATATCCCTGTCTACGTGGACGTCACAAAAATTCGCCTCCGCCGATCTTTCTCCGAGAAAAATATGTAATGAGAGTCGATAAATGCAAGAAATTATATTTTACATATTCCCTTCTCTTTCGTGTTAATATCCTCTATAATTATCGCGAATATGTAACATTATTGGGCAAAAAAGAGTGGTGCAATTTTCGTTCTTAAAATATTTCTTTTTGTTGCGAAAATCTCTTTTATATTTTATCAGCTCCCATATTTCGAGGGAAATACCTTTGCACTCTGAAGAGAAAGTGTGTACGCTTCCACGGATCTTCGAAGACGCGAAGAGTCGATTTGTTCGCTTTCAACGAAGTTTACAGGATAGTTTGCCTCGCTTACTATATCTCTATGTTTTTTCCTCTCTCTTCCCAATGGATCCAAACGTTATCGTTCTGCGCGTCTCTCGCGGAGCCGTAGCTTATCCTCGGCGCGAGTTTAATATTACAAAACGGAATTGCAGTCGGTGCAACCGGAAGTCGACCGGCCCAAGAGGGCTTTCCCCCGATGTGCTATCGTCTCCATTCCTTCTGCATCCCGGATGACGCACCGGTGCCGGGGATGTGCAGTCGCAGCTGATGCTGCCGTCTCGCGCGCGCCGGGACAGCATATGAGACTTCCGTATATGACTCGTTGAAAAATGCAAAGTGCTACGCGCTGTGTGTCCTCCCGAACACGACATGATATCCGTCCGAGAGAAAACAATCCGTTACGATGCGAAATTATGCAGCGCGGCATGGGTTTCGTGAAAATGTAGATATTAAACCCTCTCTTCCCCCCGTTGCCGGAGAAGCAGCTCCTGCACTTTTCGAGAAAGCCATTTCATAAAATGTCTGCAACGTGGATCCCACCGCCGGGATGAAGGTGAAATTTGCTTAACTTTTTGCAAGAGCAAGTTTTGCAATCGATCTTTCAATAAGTAAAACTGTAAGGAAAGACAGATTATAAATATTTTTAATGTGTTTTTTAACGTCGATCATTCATCGCGGAATATTTAAGGAGTTAAGCCATCTTGACAGCCTAAAAGTCAACTTTGGAAATTTCTTTTTGAAACAATGAAAGTAATGAAAAATTTGTTTTAAAACTTGTATTGTATAGTTCTTTAAGAATAAAGTCGTGTCATATTTTTTCCTTTTCGGAAACAAAATGGTGACGCTAAAACGTTTTCACACGGTCCTTTTTGTGCAATGCAATTGTCAAAGCGGCGTTGTCAGGATCTGACACTCGATTTGATCTGGAACAAAAGACCAAAAATTGTGTTGCACTGCACAAAAATATTTATTTTTTATATAATATTTATTAAAGAAATACGTACGAATATTTTGTAATATTGATTTTT